AGAAAGAAAGAAAGAAAGAAAGAAAGAAAGAAAGAAAGAAAGAAAAGACAAAGCCAGAAGTGCAGGGGAAAAAAAAAGAATATATAAAGAAGTAACTTCCAATACATATTTTTTCTAATCATCAAATTCATATATCAAAAATTCATTTTTTCTGTTTCACGCAGAAAGCTATAAGGGGTTTCCAGTCAGTGAAGTTAATGTTTTTTCTCTGATCAAAAATGTCAGTTTGGCCACCTCAGCAAGTTCCATCGTCTTCGCCATGCGTTCCTGCATGGTGGATATCGTTGACTCTTTTTTTTACATAGAAAAAATTCTACTATGTCACAATAAGTTAACCATTTGTGTTTACTTATCATTTCTCATCTATGAAATGCTTTATACTACCCGGGTTTATATTTATTCCATATTCCCAGTATGGCATGTCTAACAAAATGATATCAGGTAAACCCAATCCTCCTCTTTCTTTTGCATCTTGTAACACCGTATATTTAAGTTTTTTTCCCTTGCCACACAAATTTAGATATATCGTTCTGCCGCTGTTTAATTGGTAGATCAGTTGTCAAGATGGGTGTTGTCTGAAACAAAAACGACTTCTATGCAAAACATTCATCTTAATCACAGAAATTCTCCCCAGCAATGGCAGTTGTGTTTTCTCCCATCTTAACATATCTTTTCTAGCTTAATTCCAAGTCTTAACATAATTATTTTGAAATAACATATAATTCATAATTGTATTTTATCTTCTTGATTTTAAAACCTGTTTTATTCATCATTTCTGTTTGATCTTGTATCTTTATATTTTTTGTTAACATCTTTGTCTTCTGTTTGTTAATCTTGAAACCTGCTAATGCACGAAATTCTCTAAATGGACTTTACCCATTTTATAAAATTCTCTCCAAAATTCATATCTTCCAAAACTTTAAATAGAAAGCTCCAATTCAAATTGTCAAAAGCTTTCCCTGCATCTAAAAACATTAATGTAACTTGTTTTTCATTGTGCTTAAGGTTAGGGTTCATCCTCAAACCATTTATAATAAGAATCTGATAATCCATCTGGTCCTGGTATTTTCCTGGCTTCATCTTTTTAATATCTTCAGATATATTTTGGTATATTTTGTTTACTGTATAAGTTAAGAAAAAAAACAGGGTTTATCTTCTAAAGAATCTTGGAAGTTGACCTCTCCGCTGTACAGAATTTCAGTATCTCCTTCCATCTTTGTTTGATGTTCTTGGAGCCAGTTACTATCTGACCATTGATGTCGTTTGCTGTACCAATTTGAGGTTGGAAGCTCTTTCTGAGTTTGGAGATCTTGGAAGGCTGTCCTTGTTTTTCCATGTCTTTTTCCATCTTCAGTGTCTTTGTAGGTGTCAGTAATACTTCTTGTCACTTCTAACAGCTCTCTGAAATTCTTTGTTAAATTCCTTCCTGAAACCTCTGCCTGTATTTGCTTTAGTTTCTGTTTTCTTCTTGGCAATTTTTACTTCTTGTTCTGACAGCTAGTTTGCTTTCTTCTATGTCTTGGCAGTCTCTTTTCACATTCATTCTTAACAACTTCTTTTTGTTTGTGATCTGTTACATACAGTAGTTAGTGTCTGTCTACATCTTTGCTTTTATAGCTGAGCTCTTCCACCTCCTTATACCGAAAGCACAGTCAGTTTCATTTTTGTGTTCTCCCTCTGCGATGTTCAACCCTTTGGTTGTTTGAGGAGTTTGATGGCAATGAAGAAATCATTGGGTTGGCAGAAACTGGTAAGTTGTTCTGCTCCAGTTCAATTTCCTAGGCCACACAATCCAACTATATTTTCCTCTTCATTATTTCCACCTTTGACATTCCAATCTCTGACTACAAGAAGCACATCTTGTTTGCATGTTCTGTTGATTTTAGATTAAGCTTGACCATAACACTTGTCAGTTTCCTCTTCTTAGGGTTAGGATATTACCTTTGTTATATCCTTCCTGATTATGAAAGCAATGCCATTTCTTCTTTGTGTTTTGTGTGTGCGTGTGCGTGTGTGCACGTGTGTGTGTGTCCCCGGAGTAGTAAAGAGTATGGTCTTCTGGTTGAAAGTGTCCAATTACTATCCATTTTAATTTGCTGATGCCTAAGATCTCAACATGTAGCAAATTCATCTTTCGTTGTTTTGAGCTTTCCTGTGTTCAGCAGGACTTGAGGGGGAAGACCGCATTTACCCTTCAGATTTTTCAATACATTCCTGGTCCTCCTTGGTCCCTTTTGTTATAATAAAAATCTGGGACAAGAAAAAAGACCAACTTGAAGCCAACCTACCTCTTTTTCAGAATTTATAGCTAACGTGGTTCCTTTGGTTGTTTGATGGTATTCTCAGCATAGTTGAAGCTGCTCCTGTAATTTAGCCTCATGGCTAATGCTGTTCATTGATGAATAGTTTCCTATTTGCAAGGAGTGCTTTTGGGAGCTGTTACGTGACCACTTGTGTCTTCCCTAGGAGGTCTTTAAGCAGGAGGCCTCATCTCTTCTTTCCTAAGAGCTCCCAAGCTTTACTTATCCTTGTGAGTCGGCTTGTTCTTCTGGTGTCTGCTCTAAGTCCAAAGAATATTAGGTATTTGTAATAGTTCTGTGATAGGTCTGATGTTACTCACTAGTTCGTTTGTTCTTTCTCTCTGACTGGGGGATATTGAAGTCACCCTGTCACTCCCTGTTTCTGTGGTTCTACATTTTCTTGGCCAGGGAGTCCAGGAGGTATGGAAAGCCTACCTGTGGAGGGTCAACCACAGAATATCTACTGTTATAGTCAGGGCTACTGGAAGAAGAGGAGGGATGAAGACAACCTATTTGGGTAGCAGAGCCTTTTCTGGAGTCCGGAGATGAGACACAACACACATGCAGAGAATAAAAGGAGAAGCCTAGCTCTTAGAGAGATAACTTCTCCTCCTTCTGCTACTCAGTAATAAGCATGAACTGTTTCTGGTTTTATAAAGTTGGCAGCTGTTTTGATATTATTCTGTTTTTGGGTTCTTCAGGTGGTGCTGTAGGAGTCGCTTCCTGGGGTAAATTTTGGCTGGCTGTGTTGAATGTCTACAGTTGGGAAGGAATGAATACGCTTCTTCCTGAGATGTGGTATGTAAATCATTCATTGTAAAATCAGAACTGGAGCTGTATATTTTACAGAAACAGTGGGCAGATATTCTTAGGCAGCCTCATTTTTTGTCATTTTAAGTCGAAGAACAGAAATAGGCTATTTGCAAGTACTGACATTGAGAGTGTGCAGTTGCGTGTTGTTTTTGTGTGGGCTCGAGGAAATGATGCCCAGCTTCTGTCCGTCCTCACTATGTGGATGGATGCACTTGACCAAAAAGAAAATTTGTACCATCAAAAAAAAAGAAAAAAGATAGAAGTTTCTTAGAATTTGCGTATGCTGTTTTATGTGCTTGTGTGCAAAACTAGGGAGAATTACTAGAAAACGTAGAGACTGCAGGTCAGTTAATTTCCTATCCATAATTTCTGTGGCATCCCAATTCCTTCAGATCAGTTTTCCACCTTTCAACCTAAGTTCCAGATCATGGCCCCTCTCTCCTACCGAAACAAACCACTTGTAGATTTCAAGCTGCTAAAGATTTCTTTGTGATATAAGAGTTAACATTTTATAGGGCAAGCTTCACAATGGTTTCTTCATTGTATTTTCATCCTGAGAATTAAGGATGAAAATACAATTAAGAAACCATTGTGAAACTTGCCCTATAAAACTAGAGAATTAAGAAGGTACATTGTTAGTGGAATCTGTTTCAGTATTTACTATGAGAGCAGTATTTCATTGTGGCATTTTTTGAATTTTTTTTCTGGACATGGGCTCATGGTTTCTTGAATCTCTTCTAATTACCTGTTTTATTTAGTTATTATTTATTTATTTATTTATTTATTAAGTTTGTGTGCCACCCATCTCTCCCAGAGAGTGACTCTGGGTGGCTCACAGTTTTGCTCTCTGTTCTGTTTGTTTTCTTCTCCACTGGGTTCTGATGAGGAATTTGCCATATTTACTTAAAAATATTCAACCCAAAGTGTAAGATAAGCATCTCAGCCCCCCAAAGAAAGAGGAGACAGAAAAAATATAAAGACAGGCAACAGTTATGTGCAATGCCTATTTTCCCTACCTTGTCAGTGTAAGGTTGCCAACTTTAGCTGAAACCAGTCCTTCTCACTCAGTGACATGTGACACACGTATATGTTTATAGGTGTATCTGTGTGTATAAACATGCTCCCATGAATTCCAGCACCAGAAATAAACAAACAAACAAACAAACAAATAAATACCATTGATTTGTAGTTGGCTAGCTATGACTAGCCTTATTTTCAAAGTCATCCATGCTAGATATGTCTGCAGCTATTTACACTTCTCATCCGTTTGTTCCTTTTCACTAGTGTCTTCAACTGTAAGCAAAAGTAAGAGTCCCCTCGCCGAATTCATTGGAGAAAAATACTTGTGTACCTCTTAGAGTAATGAGAGTAAATCAGTATTGTGGAGTTCACTGTATCACTGCAGTTTTCCTCTAAGACCAGAAGAGTACAATCTGATTCCAGTATTCTTGATACTGTCCCCAAAGCATGAAATAATTTATACGCTGGACAACTCCATGAAGACTCTTGGAGGTCTGGTTGTTGCCAGAGAGATGGGTATGCCAGTAGCTAATTTTTCAAAGCCTGCTGGATGTAGCGTGTATAGGCAGCCACCGCATATTGTGTTGCCATGGTCTTTTTGCAGATTTCTTATAGTCAAATCGTCACATTGTCTTTGCAGGCTACCAATCCACCGTTATGAGCTTTTTCCTTCTTTCTACTTTACAACAGGTTGTTTCCTTCATGGATGCCAGGTAGCCCTTCCACGCTTTGGTGCCATTGCCGCCAGGTTTACTTGCCAATGGCCTACTGCTATGCTGTCCGCCTCACTGCAGACGAAGATGAACTTATCTTGAGCCTTCGACAGGTGGTTGCCAGAGACTCTTTCCTTCTCTCTTCTGTCATAGGTTTCATCTTAATCCAATGCCTTTGAATTAATGGAATCTCTGATCCTGGTTAAGATGCTATCCCTTATGGCAGAGGTGGGCCAACTTCCAGCGTCCCAGATTATAGTCCCCAAAATTGAAAATTGGTAGGAAAACCTCCTTTTTCTGTGGCATGATTTTTCTTCTTTCTTCATTTAGAAGGGCTGTTCATGCTATAAAAATTATTTGACAGAGGTATTAATTATGGAATGCATGGGATTACAGCATCTTTTTAAAGGAGCTGCATTTTTTCAGGCGTCCACACATTCAGCTCATTAAAGCACTGTGTCTTTAGTGCTGCTTTAAAGAGGTGCTGTGCTTGTGCTCTTTTGTGTTCCAAAACTTCCTTGCCAAATAATTTTCAAAGAATGCACAACCTTACTATTCAGGGCTTTTAATTCTCCATCTCCATCTAATATAACTCTCACCAGGCACACCTCTAGCTGCCTCAAAGGCCAGCATGTATGTTTTAAACTGCCTTTAAGCTGAACATGACTCTACCATACGCTGTTGAAAAGTGATGTCAAAAGCTGTCAGCCATTTCCTGTAATCGTGTTCCAATCATGCCACTTCATGTAGGTTGAAAAGAAATAAAGCAAAGACCGAGTTCATCGGGTTTTCCCTCCAGTACTGTGAAAAATACCATGTTTCAATAGCCAAAGTTACATAATTGCACGCACAGAAAGTTTTGTTTGATTCCAAAAGTTTCTGCATTGTCACTTTTCTTGATTTATAATGTAGTACTTTCTATCTGGTGGTTTGCGCTGCAGTGTTGACAAATAATGTTTATTCTTTAATTTTTGCATAGTCCTAAAGAGCTGGCCCCTTCAGAACGTACATGATGAATTGGGAGCTAGAGTGCAAATAACGTATACTGGATGTTGTCTCCACTTGGATAAAATGATTTATCAAAATATTATTTTGTGACAGAATACTACTAATCCAGTGCTGCCCTAGGTTCTGTTTCCGGCTTTGATTTTATAATGCTTGTTTGTTTAGTTTACTATGGTCATAGACTAGAGATTAAACTTAAAAATGAAGTTGTAATAAAATAAATGCACCAAAATAGAAGCATGATGTAACTGAAATAATAAATCAAGACACATATAAATTTCAGTGAGTACTCAGACGTGAAGCATTTGTTTCCATTTCATCACAGGCAGTGTACAGAGCCTAGCTATACTACCTGAGATCTCCACCTTCCGATCAGCTAATAGGTGCTGGTTGAGGAAGTCCTCCTCAATCCTGCCTGAATATGTTGTAATTAGGGAAATACACCTAGCCCAACTATCTCTACAAAGGAGCAGCGCTGTGGACCTGGCCCACAGTTTCTGTTTCCCCCTCAACACATGGTCAGACTCGCTCTTCTTTAGGGGTGTTGCAAAATCTACTGTCCAAAAGAGCAGATGAAAGGGCATTACAATGGACCAATCTAATCATCCTTTTGGGATGCAATGTTAACTTGGTAATGTGCAGGTATATATTTTTTTCTGGTCTCATGGGGATGAAATAAGGTGGAACCTGCCGGAAATCCTTCTGGAGGTCCGTGGCTCTGCCATGTTGCTTAAGGAATGATTTGGCCTGTTGAAAACCCACTGAGATCTCTTGTGGATTTTCGAACGCTAATTCTGTATTCTTCTGGGCATCTTTCCTAGGAACTCTATGTACAGGATTATGACAGTATTGACTGGCCAGCACAAAGAAACAATGTTGCTTCTGGGGACTTATACACACCACACAGCTGGCTACTGACGGTGGTCTACGGTGAGTGAGCCTGCCTCCTGCTGAGGGGGTCCCTCATTTGTTTTTGCCGGATTCCATTTTATTGCCAGAGTGAAAGTGCTGTCAAGGAGACACCTTTGTAATTCCTCAAGTGTCCCGAGGATAGAAGGAAGATAAGCCTTACCGTTGTTTTGCTAATATTTTATTGTATTTTATCTAATGGTACACTGAGGTAATGGTGCTAGTAATGGGCCCCAATTATTAAAGTATACAAGGCTAAGATTACTCCTATGCTCTTATATGGAGCTGAAGTTTGGGGCTTAAAACAGGTAACACTATTAGAACAAATGCAATCACAACATCCAAGAAGTACCTTGGGCGTGGATAAAAGGACTTCAGCTGCTGCAGTTAGAGCCAAATTGGGAATTTATACAATTTGTTCTTTGTCTAAAATCGGGGCATGCAACTATTGGTGCAAAATCAATGCAATGGAAACTGGCAGACTCCCAAAATTGTGTCTGATAGAACAGACAAAAGCTCCATTACAGACTTCTTAGATTGTACAACTGACAAATTATATTAGAAGTTGTGGTCTCCTTGTCTCTTGTCCACCTGTTTTTGGAGAACAAGTCAAAAAGTTTGCTGCCCCAAGAATCTTGGATATTGAAGCAGAGAGACATAGCCACCATTAGTACGGTTGGTACATTGAAATGGATGAGCCATTACAAACGTACCTTCCACGTGTCAGGTTCGGCCGGCACAGCGCTTCGGGGAAGCTTGCAGCCACACCGCACGGACTCCACCGGCGGTAGCTAGCTGAGGGAAAGAGGAACTGAAAGCGCCGCTAATTAACGGGCCACCTGCGCCCAGCCAAACAGGAAAACCGCAGCGGAAGT